GCTTGTTCCAAAAATTACCTAGCTGACCTGCTTGCCTCTCGCTTTCCTAGATGAGCTGCTGTTTTCTCTCTTAGCTGTCTTAGTAGCTTGCCCCTCACTTTCCCAGCTGAGCTGCTGGCCCCTCTCATTCCCTACCTGAGCTGCTTCCCCCTAACTTACCTAGCTGAGCTCCTTGCCCCTCGCTACGTACTTGAGCAGATGTCTGCTCACTTGGCTTCCTTACTGGTTGTCCCCTCACTTACCTACCTCACCTGCTATCCACTCACTTTCCTAGCTTAGCTGCTGTCCCCTCCCTTCCCTACCTGAGCCGCATGCCCTTCCTTTTCCCTACCTTAGCTGCATGCCCTCCCTTTTCCCTACCTGAGCTGCTTGCCCCTCGCCTCCTTTTTCTTGGTGCTCTTGCCTTTTCCTGCTACTCACTCCCAATCTCAACACTTGCCTGCTCTGCTTGCTGCTCTGACGAGTGCCTCTTAACTCTGCTCGCAGCTTCTCTCCTTCTGCATGCCCTTCTCTATTCCCTTCTCGTGCCCTTCAGGCTTCTGCTCCCCTTGCTGAGCAAGCCCATGCCCGGTAGCTCCCCTTCAACCTCCTCCGCCCTTTGCCTTTGGGCTCAGCTTCTTCTCCTGCCGCGCAGCTCCTGTGCCAGGCCGGGGCTCAGCTCTTCCCACACTCCTCCATTCCTGCAAGGTTGCTTCCCTTTGCTCTGCTGCAGTTAGCTTTCCTACTTGCTTTGTCTTGATATACATGGTTTGCTTTTTACTTTTCTTCCTCCTCTGTGCCTCTTTTTTTCTGTTTTCAGCACTTTCATTTTTTTTTTTCTTTTTCCATCTTTTTTTTTCTTACTTTTCATTCTCATTTTTCCTTTTGTTTTTTTTTTTCCCCGCCCCCTTGAAATTCTCCCCCTTTATCCCCCTCAGCTTGCCTCTATCTGTGTTTCCAAGTGGGTCTTCTCTCTCACATTCCCGTCTAGTGCCTGGTGTCGCCCCACATTACCCTCTATTTCCCTGTGCCCACGGAAGCCCCCTATTGGCTCTCTGCAGCCTTTTATAACCTTACACCTCTCTAC